AAGCAGAGTTAGTGATAGCAGGGGACTTGTTTTGAAGTGATACAGTCTATGTGCATACTGCGTCCCAGGAGTCACACTAAGCCTTAAACCCTTCCTCCAGGACTTCACTTTTGTGATGTAGAGCAGGTGAGAACTCAAGGTACGAGAGCATTTGAGGGGCACTTTTAGAACAAGTATCTTTGGACACCCTTGGATGACATCACTCATTGACTACAGCTCACAGTCTACATAAGGCAAACATGGCTACACCTCTATTTGTTTATTCAAAGCTTGGTACAATTAAGTGTTCCATCTTTCCATGTACAAAATACACCATAGGTAAACAAATATTCATCAGTCAAAATAACATAGGCAGTTAAAATAATAGCCTTATGTCAACAATTTGTACCTAGAATACTTAAATCTAAAGCAGCTTAATGAAATTGTTTATTTTACATACAATATTATGAGTTTTCAAATATTCAGGTGTTAGTAAAACTTAACTTTTTTTGCTAACGAATATTTTCTTCCCTATGGCAACTTCACTCTGCTTTGATAGGCTAGACAGTGGACTTATGAGAAGAGTGCATGAAAGGCTTATTGAGGGCGCTCATGAGATAACATTCAAATGACATTATATTCAATAACTACTTCACTGATATCTTTACTCACGAAGAGGTCAGACAACAGCCATGTGCAAGTAGACAAGTATTTCATTGAAATAGCAGAAACGTATGTATTAGATTAAAACACTAGGCTATCAAGTTCCGATGATATATTTATACCCAAGATTTCCTAAAAACATCAGTGTAGTGATTTATAGAGCACTTACAGGTGTATTTTATCAGGCAATAAAACCTGGAGAATTTCCAAATGATTGGAAGATTGGTAATATAATACAGATGTATAAATCTGGGAAAACCAAGTTATTTTTATAGCTGAACCAAGTTATTATTATAAGCCAGTCAATTTAATGTGGATCATCTAAAATACTGGAGTGAAATATTTTGAACAGACCAGACTAGGCACAGTCAACATGGATGGATCAGAAGGAAAGCTTCCTAAATGGGTCTTTTAGTGTTTTTGTTGGAGCCACAATACATATGAACACTTGTGCTTATGACATTGTGTACGTGAACCTTCAGAAACATTAAACAAGGTTCTTATCAGCAGCTCAGGTCTAGTGCTAAGCTCAGAACTGTGGGAACTGGTACCATGTAGATTGATTCCAAGCTGTGCAGGACAAGGTGAGAACGTAGATATGGCTAAAACTCAGGAAAACTGAATAGAACTCAGTGCTGCCAATTGTGAACATCAGTAAGAAACATTGGTGACCATAATTGTACGAGAATCGGAACGCCTGCAGAGGGAAAACAGTCCAGGGGTGTGTGGAATCAGGGGGGAAAACACACAGACAAGGAAGAAGGCAAACACAAAGCTTGGCTGGAGAGTCTGGAGATGTTGCTTCAGTTACTGGACAGTTACAGTACTCGGAAACGACATGGCAGTGGTCAGTCCACATCTGGAGCACTGCTGCAGTTCAGACTTTAACATAGGGATGAGGGAATATTGGGAAAAAATCCGTAGAAGAGCACAAGACGCCTACGAGGGCTAAAGAAATGTGCTATATGAGAACAGCCTGAAGGAACTCACACTCTTCAGACTCAGTACAGGATTTCTGAGAGGGGAATCTGATTGTGCTCTTCAGCATTTTAACGGGAGTCAGTAACAGATGAACTTGAATTTGAACTTGAACTTTATTGCCATATGTAACCGGTACTGATACAATGGAATTCTTACTTACAGAAAGTCTCTCGATTGTAAAACAAGTGTAAAAAAACAAGACAAAGTGCAAACAGTGCATCAAGACAATGTACAAACAAAAGACAATGTGCAAGTAAACATGTAGACAGTTTGAATGTAAACAATACAGACGTGTAAACAATGACTGGAGATGTGCAATAGATAAGAAATCATAAAGAGGTAGATAGTAATGGTGTAGGTGTGGTCCGAGGGGGATGGCTAAATGTGTTCGCCAGTCTCACTGCTTGTGGATAGAAGCTGTTGAAGAATCTAGTGGTAAGTGTCCATATGCTCTTATATCTCTTGCCTGAGGGCAGTGGGGTGAAGAGCTCATGCCCGGGGCGGTGACTGTCCTCTGTGATGGCCAGAATTCTACCACGGCAGCGGTCCTCATAAAGCTGTTTAATCTCGGTGAGACCGCAGCTGATGATCTTCTGGGCCACATTGACCATTCTCTGCAGTGCCTTTCTTTCTCGCGAAGAGGTGTTGCCATACCACACAGTGATCCCGTTGGAGCACTTTTAGCAACAGACTGCTCCTGCTACCCTGTTCAAGGGAATATTTCTGCAGGTCCTTCCTCCCAGCGGCTGTCAGGGTGTATACCACTGCCCTAGGCTAGGACTGCTAGCTCTTCATCAGCTCATCTACAGTATGGACAGCATGTTGCACTTCTTGGACACTGCATTAATATACTGTTTATACTGTGGTACTTTCAATCTGTATATACCTGTGCACATTTTGCACATATTTTATTGTTTTACAGTGACTATGAGCATATTTTGCACACACCTAACTCTATATATTTATTTTGTATTGCTTTACTTGTCTCGGGCTGGGCTGCTGTAACACCTCATTTTCACTTCGGGATCAATCACGTCTTATCTATCGTCTCTACCAGCGGCCATTTCAAGCTCAGTGAACAGAATCGCAGATGAATGGAAAGGAGTTTAAAGACAATATTGCACTGATTTTGGAAAATACTTTTTTTTTTTACGAAGAGTTATTACTGCGAGGGAGATGTGGCCGAGACCCGGTGACAGGGATAATAGGAAATGTAGGTTTTATTCTACTTGACTTATACTCCTAGTCGGCTTTTTTAGGCCCTTATGTTGTCATCCGTTGAAACGAGCGGCACTTACAAGTTTCGTTACAGGGCTAAACGGGTCCAGGTATGTTTTAGCTCGGCTAATTTGTCTCTCCCCCCCCTTCCTAGCCAGGTCTCGAAGAGTTGAACGGTGCGAGGCCAAGAAAACTCCGCACGGCAGCGGAATTTGGAGGAAACCGCTCTATGTTTAACCGGACAACGACATCTAGTGAGAAAAGAGAGAAATGACTCTTCGGCACGGAGCCGCCTACTGTACGTCAATGTGTGCACCGTTTGCAATGTGGTATAAATTTAAATTTGGTTTTAAACAAGCCAGAACCTGGCAAAACTTTATTCTAGAGACACCGAAGAACGTTCCACTGACGACAGAATCCAGCACTGGGAAATAGTAAAGGGAAGAACATCTTTGCCGTACTTCGGATGAGATGTAAAACCGAGGTCCTGATTCTCTGTGGTCATTAAAAATCCCAGGGCGTTTCTCGAAGAGAGTAGGGGGGTAACCCCGGCATCCTGGCCAAAGTTCCCATTGGTCTTTGCCAATCATGGTCTCCTAATAATCCCCATCTATGAATTGGCTTCATTACTCTGCTCTCCTCCCCACTGATAGCTGGTGTGTGGGGAGCGTTCTGGCGCACTATGGCTGCTGTCGCATCATCCAGGTGGATGCTTCACATTGGTGGTGGTGGAGGGGATCCCCATTACCTGTAAAGCGCTTTGAGTGGAGTGTCCAGAAAAGCGCTATATAAGTGTAAGCAATTATTATGATCGTATTTTCAAGTCTTGGTTAGTACTTTTGAACATAAGAATACTCCCTGGACTTTTAGACGCTGGTGTTAAGACCTTAATGGATCTAATCAGGGCATGAAACCCTCCATTGAATTATTAACATAACGTTGTACATGTATAGGACCGTACAAACTCTCCAGCGTGTGTTTCAATAGTCAATGTAACGTTTTCACCACAGCTCCGCAAGTTAGGGAAGGACATGGATTGTAGCAGTATAAAGAATAGTCATTTCTTTATCACGACTTATAAGTAAAAAAAAAATACATATGTTTTCGATAAATTGCTTTTGTTGAGAAAATGAACACTTTTGTTTTGTTTTTCCTGACGAAGGATAAACTGTTATTACCAAGTGCCCAGAATGAACAAAGAAATAACCGACAGACCAAATTGAGCGTTTCCTATCGTTTTTTTGAACGCAGGGTAGTTAAAATGACCCGTGGGAAACGAATAACTCGCCAAAGGAGCTCAATACGTAAGAATATAAAACACAATACATTCTGTAACACCGAGACTTGATCACCGGCATATATGGGCCTCATTCACTCACCCACCTGTTTTTACTGGTCGAAAGGAGACTTCATAAACCAAAGACTCTTGGTTCACCCGTGGAAAAGCGGTTAAGCGGCTCTCTGACAATAGACAGGTGCATTCAAACACAGCCCCTGTGTCTGGAGCCGTGCGGTGAATTCTGACATGTGTAAAGACTACCTGGATGAAAACGTGCAGGAAGCGGCATCGGCAGACGAGGTGGCCGAGTGGTTAAGGCGATGGACTGCTAATCCATTGTGCTCTGCACGCGTGGGTTCGAATCCCATCCTCGTCGGATGACCGTGGTGTTTTGTGAAATTAAACCTCTGAATTAAAAATCAATTCCCTAAATCACTGCTTTGAAATTTTAAGGTGAATCATTAAAAGCCTTTAACTCTTTTTTAAAACTATGTTAATTTATAGATCCTCTCCAGTAACAGCTGGGACAGTAGCAGATTTTATCAGTATTCAGAATCTTGGCAGTGGTGTACTAGAGTATATTTGTGGACAAGACAAGAATGTATAAACCAATTCCCCAGTATAGTGTATATAGGTACTCTCCTATGGTTAAAATGTTAAACTGAGGTCCTGATTATTGGTCCGTTAAGGATCCCAGGTCGATGTTTGTAAAAGGAGTTGGGTGTTAACCACAGTGTCCTGTCTAAATTTGAACAAAGCGTAGGCCTCTTCATTGGCCACCTTTTGCCTGAGACGTCCTTAGGGGAAACAAACACTATCTAGACCAAAGGAACAAGTAAAGGTTTATTCCATGCTGAAAAGAGAAGAAAAGAAATACAACATTTCGGCTGCAGAGTCTTTTTCAGGTGTCTTCAGACTTAAATGGATTAATTATTTGTTAAATATTTTAGATATATATATACTATATCGGCAAGTATATGCCCATGTTATCAAAATAATTTTAAATATGGGAAAAAACAAGGATTCCTAAAATCTGTGGAAAATATAGGATTTATGTTAAGACTATATTTTTGTGGTGATTTTTTCTTACCAGTGCTGCCCCTGAGTAACACAGTCCACTTAACTCAATAAATCACAGATTTGATGCCTCCTGTCCTTCCTCCTGAAAAATATTTCACAAACCCCCAAAAATGACACAAGGTAGAAAAGCCAGAAAAGCTGAATGCAAGGGAAATCCCCAGAACTCCAAAAATGAGATCCCACATACCCCCAAGTCCTGCCCAGCCCCCACAGAAAAACTATCAAGCTCAGGGGAGTGGAGCTTGTCTGTGAAGCAAAGACCAAAATTGAAGTGGACAAACCAGAGTTCGCCACAAAAATCTTCAGAACATGAGCCTGAGAAAGAACTCATGAACATGCTGGTTGCATCACACCTCACCACCCAGCTTTTATTATTTAAAAGCAAAATCTACTACTTGGTGTAAGAAACTGAAGACCCACAATCCATCACCCTCTTGGTCAGAACATGCAAGGTACTTTTGTGGACATCAAAGCTTGGTGACAAAGAAACTCCAGGTGGCACCCTCTGTGCTGAAAATAATCCTAGTTTCTCTTCCACCCACGATCCTTGGACAATGACTTGTAATCTTCAGGAGGATCCATAACACTAATGAAAGTGCAAATGGAACACTGTGATCTCTATAGTCCGTTTGCATTCTTGTTGTGATTACTTGAATATTTTTCACTGGTCTTGCATCTCCTTAACATGGGGTAGAGGGAATGAGAACAGTCAGAGCTGACCAGCCAATACTGTCACTATGTCCTGAACTATCCTGAGTCACACACTGGAGGGAGGACAGCGATGGACTCAGATGGGCTTTCCTCTTGATCTTCCTGCTTAGTCTGGTTCATCTTCTGCCCAGTGATCTGGTCTCCTTTATCCTCTTTGTGTGCTTGGGGGAGGGCTGGGTGCTGCTACTTCTCTGATATTGCTGCTTCCGGGACCCATACTGCTTGGCATCCAGCATATCTTTGTACTGGAGCTCAGGCCGCACCATCTTCAGGCAGATGTCCCGGGTGGCGTTGTCCAGCCCAGGACTGAGGTTATAGCCAAGGATTGGGTCCAGTCCACTTTGGAAGGGCTGGATGGCTTGATCTTTAATATGTCTGGCCTGTATCATCTCTCCGTTGTCCTGCAGGCAGAGCTGGGCCAGCTCCTCCCGCCGGGACCTCAGCGCCCCCACTTCGCGGTCCATGCGCTCCCTGCCGAAACGCTCCACCTGGGCCCAGAAGGTCTGGTTGAAGGCGCGGTAGAGGTGCCAGTCCAGGGCGTTCCACTCGCGGAGCTTCTGCCTCTGCTCCTCGGACAGCACCGGCTGGGCACTTGAGCCCGCCCTCTGCTGCCGGGCATTCAGGCGGAAGGAGACGACGGCGTCCAGCGGCCAGCAGAGGGCGTGCTGCAGCAGCACCATGGACTGGTCGAAGTGCTCGGCCAGCAGCACCAGCTGGAAGCTGCGGCGCACCTCCGCCTCCCCGGCCCGCGCCAGCTCAGCGGTGAAGTTGGCGTCATGCGGCAGGCCGAAGTCGAACCACAGCAGGTTTCGGGCGTAGTGGTTGTTCCGCAGCCGCGGGTCATAGTGGTGCCAGGGGTCGTCGATAAACTCTGACAGGTTCTGAACTTGCTTGAAGGCTGGAGCTACTGCCTTGTAGTAGGTGTAGGAGGACTCGGCCAGGAGGGCAGGGTCCCGCAGGATGGAGAAGTAGAATGTGTCGGGGGGCATCACCTTCTCGACCTGTGGGCACAGGCGTGGAGAGGGAGAGAGAGATGAGATGCATCTGTGACACAGTGGTGGGATGGCAGGTACAATGAATCCTGTTGGGAATGATTTTAGTTTATTTGAAACCGATCGGTCCCGTTCTTTTATTTTTTTGACAAATAATTTCATGTCCATCACCACACATGATTCCCACCCTTGAACACATGGTAGTGGACACTTATATAGGGCCTCCTTCTCCTTTCCCTCCTCCAGAAGCACTTTAGCCTGAACACATAATATCAAGTTACCTACAATGAGACAGGAGCTGCACAATGGATGTGTTACTGCATTGTGAAGGCAGTGGAATTGTACAGGACGACTTCTGTACAACAGGAGGGAAGGAGGGAAGCTGCCCTTACTGCTCCAGTAACATGGCCTTGGCAACAGGCACCCTACCCTACTACAGAGTAAACAGGTGTAGGGGTCTTGTTCAGGGGAAAGCTCTGAACTTTGAAGAAGAATGTTAACTACTCTACTGTGTAAAAAATCTATTTTAACACAGCTTTCAAATGACTCAAAAAGGGTCTGTTAGAGAGGTACTCCCTATCAGAGAAACGTCGCGCCGCTTAGGAAGCAAATGTCTTTTGTTTTCTATTTCACTAACATCACAACAGCAGTCTTATTTAAGTAGATTCACACCTAACTCTCCAGCCAAATCAGGGAGGGTCACACAAGTGTCACAGTGTTAGCTTGATGCTTTATTCTTGCACAGGTCTTGCCTGTTGACTGGGATCTAAACCCAGTTAGAGTTTCATAGAAAGCCATCAAATGGTGAACACTGTCTCCATTGATTCCACCACATGGATAGAGCAACAGGAAATTGGTCCATCGTTCAAGGTGTAATGCCTGGAGAAATGGGGGAGGGACCACTTTTCTCTGAAGGCCGAGGGTAATCTAAAGTGAGGTAATGAGTGAAAATCCTTTGGAATGCACACATTGCATGGCCTCTTGCAGGAAGGGTGGAGAGAGAAGGTGCGGTAGCAGCACAGAGCAGTGAGGAGAGGCGAGACTGAAGCACCCTGATCATCCCTGAAAGAAGACCTGGAGATCTCTGTGTACCTCTGACTTGTTGAAGCGCATGTGATGTCCCATGATGCTGAACTCTTGTGTCCTGTTGGACTCGTTGTTGCCCTTCACCATTTTTGCTTTGAAAGGCAACGGGTAGCCGAACTGGTACCCCAGGGGCAAGGCGAAGCGCAGCCCCCTCTCCTCGCCGAAGCGGCACAGGATGTTGAGCACCGTGCTGCTGGCCGTCTTGTGGGTCTTCAGGAACATGACGTGGGTGTGCGGCCTGCAGGGGGCGCTGATGGGTTCCCAACTGCAAGAGAGGACAAAGGGTGAGGAAGATAAATTTAAAGCAGGGTTTTTCAGAGCTGGAATGTTACACAGAATCAAAGTCACAATCCCTGAAATGTCTTTACGCCGTAGCATGTACTGTATGCAAACAAAGACACTACAGTGTGAGTTGTATGTGTCAAAGTTCCTTGTGTCACACTGAGGCAGTGAGTGGTTTAATGACCAAGACTACAATTGTTACATTAGAAGTGACTCAGGCGAGCATGCAGGTTCATATGTGCCTGGTGAGTCTGGTCGGAACTCATTAAGAAAACCCTCTCTGATGTGCCAGTCTCACACTCACGTCATATTCCTGAATACCACAATAAAGTGACTCCTAGGGTCACTATTATTATATCAACAATATCAATGTGGCTCATGGGAATAAAAGCCTAGTACACTTTTAAGGGAGATGGTCATCAACCTTTCTTCAAAAACTGTGACACTTGCACAATCTTCACAAACTGGGGAACAAATTGACTGGAGCAAACACCACAGAGGATGCAGCTTTGGTGACTAGATCTTAGACTTTCTTTGCATTTGTCCACACAGCTGCAAACCTTTGGAAATAGGGCTCTTAATGCTGTTTGCGTGTCAAGGTTTTCTGATTAAACTGGCACACATTCTCAGTCAAGGGACAATATGAACTGTAGGCGAGGACATCACCTCTTACTGAAAATGAGGTCTCTGAGCTGTTTGGCAAACCAGATGGCGAAGATGAATATCACCACTTTGCCCTGATGCCCAAGTTGCCTCATCGTCAGGCAGTGTATCCTGTAAAGTGAAGAGAGAATTACACACCTCACTGCACCATAGGCACCCCACCTGGAGACACAAGAGCAATAACGTGCACACTGGCTCATCCTCCTATGGCACAGAGCAAAGTTCTATTAATAAGAGGTACTTCTCACAGAGGGCAGCACTGGGGCCCTGAGTTCAATTCTGGACCTGGGGTACTATCTGTGTGGAGTTTGTATGATCTCCCCATGTTTGCATGCATTTCCTCTGAGTGCGCTGGTTTCCCTCCATAGCCTAATAACTTACCCGTACTGGTAAGTTAATTGGCTTCTGGGAAAAGTGGCCCTGGTGTGAGCATCTGTGTGTGCCCTGTGATGACAGGTATCTTGTTCAGCATGTACCTTACCATGTGCCTGCTGCTTGCTGGGATAGGATCCAGCTCCCCCGTGAGCCCAAATTGGAAGAAGCGGTTGGAAATTGGATGGACGGATTGACTTCTCGTGGGACAGCAAACGTGAAATAAATATGCGCGACAGGGGTCTGTCAAGTGCTGGAGGGTGGAGAATATGGGTGTGACGTAGCCCTATTCTCAACCAGGGTTGTTCCAAGGGTCAGCAGGCATAAAAACTCCAGATGGCCCTGAAGCAATGACCAGATGGTATATTTTCCAGCCTTTTCAGACTCTACAAGAAAACATATTAGGACTTCCCAATCACCACTACTATAAATTTCAAAAGCTTTTCCAGTTTTCCAATAACTAAGGCAATCGTCCCTGGTGTGGCTATTTACAAGAAATTAGAGAATTGTATAGCACCTGTGTAAATAAATATAAAAAAGTTATCCTTACACTTAAGGCTCAAAAAATCTTTCCCACTCAAAGCATTGGTAATGATAATACGCCAGCACCAATGTGGAGCCCCCACCTGGATGATGCGACAGCTCCCAATGTGCACCAGGACACTCATCACACGATTTACCACAATTGGTAAAGGCCGGGTGGAAATTTGGCCAGGACACAGGGTGGGTAACACCCCTACTCTTTCAGAGAAACACACTGGGATGTTTCATGATCACTCCATACTGTTCCCACTAACACCTCTTCCAGCACCAACCTTTCCCAGGAGGTCTCCCATCAAGGTATTGGCCAGGCTCAGCCCCGCCGAGCTTTAGTGGGCTGTGGCTCTATCAGACCTCTGCAAACCTCTTTGGAGAAATATTACAATTATACAATCAAGCAGTGAGTTAAACCCACTGTTACCAAAAGCTAAGGTGGAACAAAACACAGAATATACCAAGTCCTGCAGGATCAGAGCCTTCCAGTCCTGCTCTAATCTCACCAGGATTTAGATTCACCTGCGTGAGAAGTTAGCACAGTGAGAGTTTCACACCCTTATGTACAGTACTGTTTCTTTCTGTATTTGTCCAGAGGGCTGACTAATTCAAAACTTGACCTTGACATTGGCTTTGAGTAACACACAGTTCTATAAAATTATTTTGCATCAAGCAGCAATAAGTATCTCAATAATGAGTAAAACTGGGTTTATGTATACATGTTGCACTTCATTTCATTTTCCTTTAATTGCATTTGATGTGTACAATTGCATTCGTTTTATAAAACAGCTTTATGTCTCATACTGCCCCAGGATCCCTTTTCTGAGACTTATGAAACCTCGGGCCAGGTATGATACCGTCGACAGTGAATTGAACATTCAATTGCACGCACATCGAGCAATCGAAGATTAACTGCAAGATACGAATTGAACATTCCGTTGCACGAACATCGAGCAATCGAAGATACAGTAAACCCCTAATTGGCAGGGCTTGGTAATGCAAGACAGAAAGTTCGTATTCGGATTCTGGCTGTATATGAAATACTTATTCAATAAATTGAAGTACTGTAGAAGCAAGAAACCTTCCACATCTAACCTGCACTTTCAGCAACGTTCGGCCAAGTTACAGTTAATCGTCAAAATACAACAAATGTCGACGGCAAGAGGTAATCTTGCAAAGGAACGGGTAACGGGTTGATTCTACGCTGAAAAGAGAAGAAAGGAATCACAACGTTCTAACTGGGGAGCCCTTTTCTGGTGTTTCTTTTCGTCTCTTTTCAGCAGGGAATAAACATTTACTTCCTTGCAGCCTACGCGCGCTGACGGAGCTACCTACTTGAACTACTAAGAGGTGTTGTTGTAGCGTTTTTAAAAACAAGGCTCTCACTTAATGCATACAGTATACTTGGCGGTGTGTAATTTTGTTTCAGCGCACAACCGTACAGGAGAATCAAAACTGATGCGATAACTCTGATTTAATGCGATAGTCGAATCTTTTCTAATATTATATATTGAAATACTTATAGCAGGATAGAAAAGTGTATATGTATACTATAATATTCGTGTCTCCTTTCTCATGGATGTCCTAAAAAAACATGGTAAGTGTCGAACACCCTAATTATTTCGAACTGAACGAGTCTTTCCGTTAGAACTTGGTAGAGATATTTAAACAATCGCCCAGACTTGCTGTGTTATTTAATTAATAAAAAGGTGAAGCTAAAATCGCATTTAGGAATTAAAAAACACTTTTTATATATAGATTAAGTTAAAATTCGTTTCTGAGCATGTTTCGACACGCTACAGAAATGGGTTTCGTTCACAATACGAATGTGGAGTGCTGAAACGATTAATAAGGAATAACATATAAATAACGGGGGCAGCAGAGCAGAGCGGGGTTTAGGCGGCTTTACAGGTGGGACGGAGGGAATCTTTCTAAAAAAATCCGCTTCTTCTCCTTAGACGGATCTCACCTCATTCTGCAGCGCGCCGTGCCGATCGGGTTTGCCGATGCTGGGTGAGGTCAGACTGAGGATTAATGCTAGCGCATCCCGCGGTGCTCCACCTTCTGTGGAAGAACTTGTCTACAGGTGTGTCTCCTCGACTTTCTCTTAATTTGACCTTCTCACAGTCTCTCCCTGCACCCCTGTGTTTGTGTTAGTTGGTCTCAGTACTCGTCCAATGCTCTCTGCCTCCTTTTAGTCTCTCTTGTGCAGTAGCGTATTTATTATAATATAAAGTCTGTTCCAACACAGGAGATTTAACTTTTCTTTTCCCCCCTCTATCATCCTTGTCCCTCCCACTTCTTATTCTCCGACCTATCTCGTTCTCTTGTGTGTTGGGTATCGTCTTCGTCTATACCTTGGTTGAACACCGCAATAAAGTTAGCTCGAAGTTCGATATTCGTTTTGGAACTTCAATAGCGTTTTCACGAAACCCCCTAGAGGTATGAAAACACTTGCAGTGTGCATAAAGTGTACTGTGGATGTTTTACAGCCGTCCGTTTGTCGTTTTTACGCCTTTTTTTTGTCCACACACAAATATTCTGTTGCCAATATCGTTGCAAAGGAAACACATAAAGTCTTCAAACCAAACGCAAAGACCTTTGCATTAAGTTAGCAGTCAACTAATTGTCTCTTCAGAAACCTTAGCTTTTTGATTGATGCGCAGTTACGTACTATCTGGAACATTGCTGGACTGCTTTGTACATAAGTTCACAATGCAAGAAATACTGGTCAGTAGGTGTTCGGGAGACCCACCTGCATACTCTATGACTATAGGAAGCAGAACAGCAAAGAGACAAACTCAAAGTAGTTTTCAAGTTTCACAAATCAAAGCAAGGTTGTAAAAAGTCAGAGGGCCTGCCTAGTGTGAAATACGCTTGGTTACAGCATTGTGAGTTTTGTGGTAAAAAAGCTACTGAAGAGCACCCCCTATCCCAGTGTATTGCCTATCTAATGGTGCCATATACAAAAAAATCCTCCAAAAATAAGTTTCACAAAGCAAAGCTGTGAAAAGTCAGTCTTCTGTTTAAAATATTTGGTTTGAACATCATGAGTGCTGTTTTTAAAAAGCTGTTGAGCACAGAAAAGGATGTTTCCTGCTGACAGCAGTATTGCACATGTAGTTGACCCTTACCTGAATGAAAACAGGACATTAAAAAAAGGGTTTCAGAAATAAAACAAACTTTAACCGCAGTCCTTACAGGCTGGATAATTGGAGACTACTTTGAGTTTGTCTCCATGCTGTTCTGGTTCCTATAGTCATACAGAATGGAGGTGGGTCTCATGAACACCTATTGAGCAGTAATTTTTGCATTGTAATTGTGCATCAATCAAAAAGCTAAGGTTTATAAGAAGACAATTTGCTGACTGCTAAGCATATTGCAACACTCCAGGGTTCACATGGGTATATGCCCTTACCTCTGCCGCCTCAGGTCGGCCCCCCACCGTCAGGGACTCGAACCCAGGACTCCAGTGTCACTCACCAGGGACCCAGCCACTTGAGCCGAAGGGAAATCTCCCATCAGCCTGGCGGCTGCGGTCCCTGCTATTCACAGGGACACACGGCAGCTATCCATATCTTTCTTCCAATCACCAGGCCAGTCTCTGTTTGATTCTGTCAGCTACCGTTTTCATAACCTCGATTTCATAACCAGTTCTCGAACTGTATGTCGTCATATAATATTTATTACATAATTATATTTTATGAAAAATCGAAAAGAAGGTTTTCTGCCCTTCGAGTTACACAGGACGATCACACGTTATTTATTTAAGATGCTTCTTAAGGAACGTTTCTGGGAGCAGTGTAGCATTGCTGTTTTTATTTGATTTTGGTTGCTTGTATTTCTCGCTCACAGTAAAGCCAGCTGGTTTTATTGGCGAAGATTAATTTGGTTTCACTAAGCATATTTACCATTGTTATTTTACATTCTGAAAGACAGTTTCCACTTTAAAGGTTGACTATTACCCCAGGATCATGGATGACAGCCAGTGTTATAAAACAATTTGCGTACTGTGTGCTTGCCCTTGATCAACAAAGATTTCAACAATAATCCAGGATATGCATACTGCATGTTTAATTTTGGATCAAGGCTTGGTTTTCTTAAAATGAATGTTCCATTATTGCTACCTTTGTCTTGGATTAGCATACAGTAGTTTTAATTCATTTGTTTGTATATAAATATATACTGAGGGGCTTTAAAAAGGCAACAACAAATGATTTTGGCTCCCAATGCATTTTTAGTCTTTCCTAGTTTACAGTGCTTTGCAGATTTATTAATGCTTCCAATGAAAAAGGAACAAAACATACAATCTACCTGAAAAAAAAAACAGATTAAATCATGTGTCTTGCTTAACGCAAAGATGTTATACTGTAGTCTTAATAGCATTCCACAGAACTTAACATGTCATAACATTTGTTTACAGTACATCTCTAAGTATATGTTTAACTAAACTCTAATAAAAACAAATCTACCGTAACATTCTCCTCTTTGGAAGTGTATATTGGCCTCCCAAAGTGTCTTTTTTCCCTGGGGCATTTGGAAGCAACACACAGAAGACAGTGAAAGGTGTCTTTGCTTTTCTAAACTGTTGTCTTTCATGATCACAGTTGTGATATAGGATGAGACCCCTCACTGTCATGCCAAGCTCTGTAATTGGGTTTGGCTGTCTCAAACCCACCACCTTTATTGGAAAAAAACCTCACCGAGTTGCTGAATCTCAGTGACTTTGTCCCTCAGGGTTGAGTGTAGGTCTTTGGTCACAATGTTATCTTCCAGCTCAGCTGCTTCGAGCACCATAGAGGGACAATGTCCCCAATTCCAAGCTCCCTAATTTCCTCCTTTGTGCTTTTTTGGGATGCACCCACTTCTGATAGAAGCTCTTCCAGCTGCATAGTCAAAACTCTGAGCCACAAATGGCAAGTGGTCGCACCAATCTCATTTGCTCAAGACAGCCGCCTTTACCTTGATGTAGTTCAGGGTCTCATTTGCAACCATAGCAAACACATGTACTTTGCGTTTTCCCAGTTTGGTAAGTGGCTCACTTTGCTTTGTCCTATGTACAGTACATGTTGTGTCAGCTCTCTCAAAGAGTGAGACTCCTCCAGTTTCAACAAGCTTTGGTCTTCTCCGCCCTCCCTTCAAAGGCACTGCCATTTGGTTTGGTTCATCCCCGACACTCTCACTGGTGTGGAGACTTTGCCTGCTCCCCCTGCTGCTTCTGACTGTTCTCTTCATCGCTGCTCATCAGGCAACATGAAGAAGATGTTGGCCAACGCCATCACACTGGGCTGGGACTTCACCAAATCCCCTGGTCACTTCCTCTTGGCCCAACTCCAGATAGGAGAAGTGCACCCTGCATGGTCAACACGAATCCCCCAGTGGAAACCAGGAACAAACATAGGAACTGGCGAACAAGAAGACAGGAGAGGGCTTTGGATGGGGGAGGAAACCACAGATCCAAAATATGAAAAAACAAAAACAGGAACATGTAGAACAAACTGTAGGAGATAAAACAATGCTGGAGGTGGAGAATAAGCTAGAGAAGGGGATAAAAGGCAACACAAATCTTTAAGCAGGAATTCAAACATAGCTTTGATAGCACTTCACCAAAGTTAATTTTCCGTTGAGCCATAGAATTGAGACTGCTCTCATGAGGGAGACATTCAATCACCGCATGCAAGATTGAGGGCAGAGCACTCAGAGGATGCAGACAAGTACTCATTAACAACAACAAGGTTCTGAATGGTTGAACATCAATAATTATGTAAAAGAATAAACCCTTTACCACAGTAATGCATCTGGTATCTTATGATCTTTTATGTAACTTGGCAACTGCTATGGTACACAGTTTTCAAAAGGAGTTGCTAACAATGTAAACATGTTTAACATATCCTGTCCTGTTTTGTTTGCCTCTTCAATTTATCTACACATTGCCTGGAGATGAAAAGGATGTCAACAAAAACACCCTTTTCTATACTTGTCTACTTTTAAGTCATGTGTCAGATGTTTGCCCAGCCTAAGCCAGCTTGTGAAACAATACCTATAGACAAACTATACCAGAACCCAGATAATTGATGTAAATTAGTAGTGCAACAGATCCCTGTTGTACTCTACTAAATAGGACATCCCAATTGGAGTATTATACCAGTCCTCTGTTTCTTCTCTATTAAACAATTCAAGCACACACATTACCTTGAAAGCCTTCTATGTGAGATAATTCTATAATGAGGAATTTCATCAAGTCTTCTGCACCTCTTTAAGTCACAAACCATACATTCCGTTTGTTTCCATTGTTGTGGCAGATTTTTTAAAGAAAAAGTTAAGCAAGACTACATTTTTAAGTCTGTATTAAGTAAACCCCTAGGATCTTGCTGTCACAGAGTGGATCCTCTAGATTAGACTTAATTTAATTATATTAGTCTGTGGCTACTTATTACTTGGAACTGACACCTGTTCTATGGGAGGGCAATATAGCAGCACTTTTCCAGTTCATATGTACTTACCATTGTCTCGGGTGACCATTGTGCCAACAGGCCATGAATAACATTTCATTTAAGTACTAAAGTCACATGAGGGACTTGGGTATTTGCTGAACTGCTTCAAATACCTGTAACCTTTTAATCACTTCTCTGATATTGACATTCCAGATCCATTCTGGCTACACACCAGAGGTAAATATTAATTTACCACATCAGCCATTTCACTTGTTAATATCTTGGTTGCCCATTTTTATGAGACACCACTTTATTTAAGCAGCTCATTAGACATTTCTTTAACTGGAACCCATCAAGTCCATGCCGATTTGGTCTACCACATAACCCCAAGGCATAGCATCTCCCTACTGAAGATGCACCAGAAAAGCAGCAATAAAAGACAAAGGTATTGCCTTGGCAGGAGCCACACTCCCTTCCCTGCAAACAAAGCCTGTATTGACTGTGGCAACTGACTTCCCTGTGGGGAAAATAAAGTGAGCTCACAGAAAAACCTGATTTGTCCCCAGAAGGCTTGTTTGTTAATAACAGTGTGGATAGAAAAGATAACAGCTTTTTTTTTGTAAATGACTGAACATGAGAAGAAACCAAATAGAAGTACTACATGGACATGGGAATTCTTGTCCTTTGCTTTAATAGGAAGAGATTTTTTTGTATATACCCAACATCCCTAAGGTCCAGGTCCTTCTGTGAACTTCCCTGTGGC